TATATATATATATATATATATATACATATACATACATACATTTAGGATTTGTTCGAGGTTGGGTGACTTACCATTGCAAAGAAATCCACTTCCAGTATAACCGTCGAGGCAACTACACGTATAGCTTCCAATAGTGTCAGTACAGACTGCTAATTCGGAGCAAGGAGTAGTTCCGTTAACAGGAACACATTCATTTACATCTAAAATGTAAGAAAGAAAGCAACATTATAATAAAAATTATAAAGGACTGTTTACTATAAAATTCATTAGGAAAACAGTATCCCAGTTAAAAAGTCCTAGTTAGTATACCAGATTGAATTCATAGATTGAAAGTTTATTCGAAATAAACATGAAATAATTATTTTTTTTTTACTTTCCGACATCCGTTGGTATAAAACAATATCCAATTAATGTTTCATTAAAATAGTATTTTAATACAAACATTAACTTTAATTTCTTTTTTAAGCATTAGCGCTTTGTATCTATCAGAAAAGGCACGATACAAAATACCTGGATTTTTCATTACACATTATTTGGTGCAGTATTGGCAGACTTTGCTCGAAAATATCATTTGTCAAGAAGGACTAAATGTGAAAAATCATTAGTAACTAATAAGATACTTTTTATGTAATTTTTTACTGTATTTATTCATCATGTTGTTAGCGTTTACGCTCATTGATGAGATGAAATAAAAATTAAAATCAACATGTCCTCCACAATGTGCTGTTTGCCTACTTTCTTGCCATATTTTGTATATTTTAATGAACTGTAAACATTTAACTTACTAGTGCACTCTGCTTCGTCAGTTTCTCTTGCGTAACCCGGGATACATCGACACAGATAGCTAGAGTCGATATTCACACACTCCTCAAGTTCTTTGCATATGTCAGGATCTTCAGCACATTCGTCAATGTCTAGAAATAGAAGAAAGGGATGCTTGATTACAGTTTTCCTTTTTAAAGAATTATACTAGTTTTATTAGATGTACACTAAAATCGGCGTATTTATGACTACCTAAATTTATATGATGTGTTATGCTACCGGTACTTGTAATATCTGAGCACGTTGTAATGGGAATATTTAATCTTGTACCACTGCAAAACTTATAAGTAAATCTGATGTATAACTTCCACTAAACTGTAATTGAGGGACCGGATAAATGGACATTGGAACTCCTAACCCTTGTAATAATCTTACCTATTCAAGATAATGAGAGTCAATTAATATAACTTACCAACGCAACTGGAACCATCTCCACGGTGACCTGTTGAACAGACGCACGTGTAGCTGCCAAAGGTGTTGGTGCAATTCGATGTTGGATGGCAGTCTAGTGGCCTTTCTACACACTCATCGATGTCAAAACAGTCTGTGCTGTTACCTTCAAAGCCTTCTGTACAGCTACATATATAAGAACCAATCGTGTTTCTACAATCAGCATTCTCATCACATGTACTTGTTTCTTGGCGGCATTCATCTAAATCTGAAGTCAACAATACACACTTCAAATAACCTTTTCTTATGGTAAGCATTAATGCAGACCACGGACGATAGGCATATGTACACTGTAAGACAATACCATCTAGTTTTTACTAATTGTACGTTCGTCACGGATCTCCAAATACACAATTCTTCTCAGTGTATACACATCTAGATTGTTGTTTTTGATTTAAGAACTACTTTTAGACGAGTATGGGTTATCCTGACGCTCAGAGGCTCATTACAATACGGAATTCACTACAACTGTGTTATACACTATTCTCCACTTTCTACCATTTTCCATTTACCTCTAAACACATTGTTGGATATACAAGCAATTCAGCCTTTCAGACGAAAGGGAACTAGAAATGATAGAGCTGATCCAAGCACCCCTACCTCCCAATCAATCCCCCGGTATTCATTCTATCTTCTTTCGCACTGCATAGCGGCTCGAACTCATGCTCAACTAGTCAATTTACACCATTTTTAAATTTAGTGCAATTCACATATTTTTATAAGACGTTTATCTGCTCAAGATTGTTATACTTTAATATTTGTATATAATTTTTTTTAACTACTGTAGTTTTTGTTAATAGCTTTTCAATTGTTTATATGTCTGTTTTTAATGTTTAACAATTTAATACTTGTAACTGCAGAAATGTATTTTAATTTTTATATATTCTTATTAGTTAATGTAGGACGCATTGTGCAAATTGAAAATGAACCTTTTTTATCGATTCTATTGTCCTTTTACGATGTTTGTTGTATATTAATTGTTAGTTTGTAAATTCTCCAATTAAGCTACTGGCAGCAATTGTATTCTTAATTTGTTGGCAATAAAGATATCAAAATGAATTAATGAATGAATATTGTAGTAAAGAAGCTGAATAGACTATTGAAGTAGTTTGGTAATCTCAAGGATTTATTCTTACAGAGGTTTGATAACTGTATTGAATTAAATCTGAAATCCGATTTCAAGTATTTGGCTCTACTGAGAGCAGCTTAATAGGCCCGAACCTTGAAACCTTGAGATCCCCAAGGCCCGAAGGTCCCATCTAGAGTATGACGAAACTAAATTCTTTATAACAGAAGTATAAAATTATCGAACTAAACTATGAAACGTATGATCTAGACAAGGCTATGAAATAGTAAAGAAACCAAGACCCACGGATCTTGAAGTTAAACCCTATATGAATCTCAATACTTAGGCTATTCAATAATCAGACTCAAGTGAAAAATAATGCAGCGTAATGTTTTCTTAAAAGGCGTCTGTGATGAGTCAATATTTTTTTCCAATACAGAAAATGTCATATACTGTCATGTACCACCCTTTGACGAGTATCTTAGAAACTCTATACATATTTTCTGGAACTGTGTGAAAATAATAATCAGACTCAAGTGAAAAATAATGCAGCGTAATGTTTTCTTAAAAGGCGTCTGTGATGAGTTAATATTTTTTTCCAATACAGAAAATGTCATATACTGTCATGTACCACCCTTTGACGAGTATCTTAGAAACTCTATACATATTTTCTGGAACTGTGTGAAAATCAGCTCTTAATCAATCATTTTAGCCATTAAGCATTATGCTCTTTCCAATTCTAAAATGTATAATCAGTGGAAAATTGTCGTACATTAAGATGATTTCCTGATCTTGATGTTTTTCTTGATTCAGTCTATTTTTCACTTTTGTCTTATATTTATATGTATTTGTATTGGTTTAACTGTTGTTCTTTTGTATGGACATGGAATTCCGAAATAAAAGATGACTAATGATGAATGACTACATTGTATTTAATACTGATGATTCATTACAAAGAGTTATTCAAAAACACCATACAAACGTAGGCAAATCACATACACGGTGGACTGTTTAGAAGCCGATAATGATTAGTTGGGACTCCATCTCTGACTTGCAAACATCAAAAAAAAATTGCAATCAAAAAAAAAAAAAAAAAGGGGAAAAAAAAGAAAAAGAAACCCACACAAAATTGTAAGGAAAAATAATAAATAAAATAAGTAATCTTCTAGTTTTTTCCACTTTCTTTTTCTTTATAATATTTTAACACATAAAAAAAAAAGGCATATGTAAATAAAACCAGAAAAAAAAACTCATCCCTAACATCAACAGGGAGAGCACCTCAGAGACGACACAATCTAACAAAGAATATTTAAAACAACCAGTTTTAATGATATAAAAATAATTATATAATTGACCTATCTATTCTAAACTTACCATCACAATCAAAGCCATTGCCATTATATCCATCTTTACAAACGCAATGCACAGATCCATCGGTATTTATGCAATCAGCATTGATATTACATGGATTGGCTAATGTCTGACATTCATTAATATCTGTCAACGATAAATGCATATGTCAATCAAATAAATAATACAAAATATAAGTTCAATATCCAACTATGTGGAGTAACAATACAAAGAGACATTTTATCTATATGTTGTATTACTTTAAAATAATTGCATTTGCATCCAACAGTAAGTAACTCACTAACTATAGAAAGGACGATATAGCCAAATCTCTTTCTGAGGCTTAATTTTTTAATTTTTTTAAATTTTTTTAGAAGAATTGGGCCCAGCTCCCTGGGAATAGAAGGCAAGTATCTCAACCAAGCTATATAATATTATTGTTAATGAAGTTTTTATGTTTCTATTGCTAGTATTGATTTTCTTCTCACAATTAGTTTAACTGTAATAAATTAGGCCTACCGGTGCACTCAAAGCCATCACCGTCGTATCCCTCATTGCATGTACAATTGTAGGATCCGATGTCGTTTATACATTCTGCGTTGGAATCACATGTATATGTTTGACGATCACACTCGTCGATGTCTTAAACCAAAAATAAAAAGTGATGTAATATTTTTCTTCTATTTTACATGCTAGTTTTAACTAACGATAACATTATTTTAAATAATTGAAACCTCTTTAAAAATTGAGTACAATTTTGATCAGAATCAAAGTTAAATATACTGTTTTCTAGTCTCTTTAGAATTTCAATGATGAATAGTTTTCAGAACTTTTTATAAAATAAATAAAGTACATATTATATTTACTATTTAAACATTATTAATATTATTATACATATAATTAATCTCAATAATGTATATGTAGTCAGTAAATCATTGACAAATGATGGAACCATGCCTGGGTTGTCCTAAAAATAAAACTCGCTTCTAAAAACGAAAAAAAAATTTAAGATTTACTGTTTTATTTTTAAGATATACTGTTTTTTGATGGTTGCCAGGCTGATTAACCGGGAGCCTCAATACTTGTAATCATATAAATTAAAACAAAGTGAAAAATGCAATATTACACTCTAATTGTAGATAAATTGTCAATATGAAAGAATTGGCTATGAACAGTGTGAAAATTAAATTGTAGAGCTATTCAAACGTCAATCTGTAATTGACTACTACTGCTACTGCTACTGATACGGCTACTGATACTGCTGCTGCTGCTACCACTACCACTACCACTACCAATACCACTACCAATACCACTACCAATACCACTACCACTACCACTACCAATACTACTACTACTACTACTACTACTACTACTACTACTACTACTACTACTACTACTACTACTACTACTACTACTACTACTACTACTACCACTACCAGAACTACTACTACTACTACTACCACCACCACCATCCACCAGGACTTCAACTATAATAATAATAATAATTTATTTGGATATGCACTTTTGAATCAGTGGCAGTCAACCACAAGAGTGGGGCATCCTAACAACAAGAAAAAATATAAAAATTACAATCAAAAAGAAAGACATCAAAATAACTAATCTATCATTATTACTTACTAATTATCATCAAAATCATCATGATCGTGTTCATCATTTGCATAACCATCATTATGCTTATAATTATACGTGCGAAGCACGTAGTTGCCTATAATTCATTTATCAAACTCACTGTCGACAAATATACTTCATACACACAGTATCATTACATTTAGTAAAGTTGAAACCAATAATGGTTACAATCATACAATAAAAATAACACTCTTATACCTATACATTCCTTTCCATTTGGGTGCAGGTCATATCCAGATCTGCAACTGCACTCGTAACTTCCCAGTGTGTTTACGCATAACTCAGTATGTTCACAGAATGGAACTCCTTCAACCTGGTCAAGACCATTCGAGCACTCGTCATAATCTATTATTCGTAAAAAAAAAAATGTAATTGATCTTATGCAAGTATGATTATAGCAACATTTTTTCTTCGTAATAGAAGAATATTTAATAGAATTTACGAATGTACACACATTTAATAAATCATACATAGGCCTGTTATTTATTAATGTATAGTACGTAATAATGTATATGACAAGTTTGATAATTCATATGTATACAAATAGTTGTCAAACAATTTGTTGCCGGCATGATTTAATCATCGTTTATAATTGAACAAAAAATGGGATTTTGAATTTCATGGTTGAAAGAATGTCTACAGAAGCTCCCTCTTTAGTTTGCGAAAAGTGATCTCGAAAGAAGTCCATCTCAAATTTAAAGTAGTCCAGTCAACGGTCCTAAAAAAATCCCTTTGGCTTCTATTCGATGTTTTACGTTATAGCATTAGTCGTAGGATGAGGTACGTTTATTCTTTATAATTCGTAATTATATAAAGCTAGTCACGTATAAAAACGTGTAGCCAATTATCCATACCGTAGCATTTGAATCCGTTTCCCAACAGGCCCGTGGGACAGTTACCACACGTTGCGTTCACCTCTGGCGCTATGTGATCTCTGCAGCTGACTCCAGTATGACAAGGATTCTCCATACATGCATCGTAATCTTCAGAACAATCGAATGATGTCCACGCAGGTGGGCAGATGCATTGTACAACCTAATAATTTTATGTACGAACTGCTTCATTTTAAACTTGTGGAATCATAAAAATCAAATTCAATTTTTAACTGTATGTTGATGTTAACAGATTTCTTAATATAAAAGAAAGAGTTTAAAAAGATTTTAATATTAAATATTTTCAGCATTTTAAATACAAACATTAGTCGTACCGCAAATCTGTTATTTGGAATATCAGATCCTTCAACGAGACTCTCAAAATCACACTCGCCGCCGTTTACGCATGCGCAAATCCTTACTTCCATAAAAAGTGTGGTCGTCTGTGACTTATCATTAACATCGAATGCTAGGTTAACCAAATCAGTAGAGTTCGGTGTCCAAGTAAACAGTCCAGCTGAAAACAAAAGTGGTTTTTAAAATTATTATTTATATTCAATTGATTAGGATTATTTATGATTATTATAATTGAATGATTGACTATGATGAATGCATATAATACATAATAAAATTTGCGTATATCTGATTATGGTTGATAATTGCTATTATTTTATTATGATTGTTTATGATTTCATATTGTTACTTTTATTGATTAAGGAGTATTAGTGATTATGACTTTTCTAATTGATAACGATTGATTGTGTTTGCTTATTAAATGCTTATAATCGATAATGATTGATATTGATATTGGAATTTATTTTTCGGTTGATTGCTTTGTTGTTTTGCTGGGTGAAATATTATATATTCTACATCATATTAATACATAGGTGCATACACGTATATAACAAAGTAGATAGATCATGCATGGAATATTTAATTGCTTACTTTCTGAATCAATTCTTGACCCGTCAATCTCTGTATCAATGGAATAAGTCAAGATGTCATCTGGATTCTCATCGGATGCATTAACTTGTAGAATGACACTTTGGTTTACACGCACATAAAGTTTGTTGCCATCAGTTAAGACGCTCTCCGGACTCTTATCAATAATTCCATGTATCACTGGTGGTATATTGTCTATTTAATACAATATCAGTAACAATATTAATAATATCAGAAACAATATTAATAATAAAAGTTTTGGTTAATGTTACATCACCATCGCAGAAAAAAAATCGCATACAATGATATCACTATAATAACAGAAAAAATAATGATAATATCGATAATGTATTATGATCAATAATAATAATAATAATAATAATAATAATAATAATAATAATAATAATAATAATAATAATAATAATAATAATAGTAATAATAATGATAGCAGTAGAATAGCACTAACAACAATCCTTAATCTCAAATTGGAAAAGGTCGACAAATCTAAGACAGTCGATAATTTACTGAATATAAATTTGTTATTTTCTCTAATACATATTAAAAGGGAATCTTAATTCTTTACATTCTAACCAGCAATCTATCATATACCAGTATTTGGGTATAAGTCACCATACTAATAAAAAAAAACATGTGAAGCTGCCTTCCAACAAGTTTAATTACCGGTTTTTAATATTCAAAATATGTAAAATGACGTCATATATTTTTAATACGCACATCTTTGATATATGTTCATTACTTGTACAAGTACATAAAGTGACAAAGTGCCAGTCAGTCAAAACACTATACGAAAAGATAGGAAAAAAGGTGGGGAAGAAACCAAAAATCAGAACAAAACTGTGGCTTTTCCTGCTACTGGTAGGAAAAGCCAACAATAATAATTATTATATTAATAATAATAATACATAATACAACTTTTAGTGGGGATATTGATGTTGATAATAATCATATCATAATTTTAATTACATGCACTAACCTTGAATGTCTACTCACCTAAGGTCTCTTTGTCGATGGTATTGGCGTCATCTGTTGCCTTTGTACTTTCTCCTATATTTACATTTCCGGTTGCTAAAATATCGAACAAGCACTGCTCGTTGTCACCGCAAACGGAGTTGGCTTGAGCTAACAACGCAAGATCTGCTGTGGCTACCAGTTCATTTAAAAATTTTGGTCGGAAATCTTCATCATTAATGTCAGAGTAACTCTCAGTACCATAAACGAATGCTGATTGATTTTCGGTAAGCCTCCCTATATAGTATAATTACATTTAAAAAAAAAATATTATTCATCAGTCAAATACAAGATTGGAAGTGTACGGTTCAATAAATGTATTATTATTATTAAATAGGAAAAACAAGGTTACATTATTATGATATCACAAAACAAGTCAAAATTTTACAGGAACAAAACAAGGGCAAATAGGTAAACTCAGGGTTTGATATAAATAATTCTACATTATGCAACATCTATCAATCGAGACATCATGGTTGACGAGGAAATTATGTAATTGTTGTAATCAGAAAATTATAAACCGCTTCAACGCATCACTTGCGGGAAATGCTACAATAGTCAATATGTTATTGCATTGCAGGCTGTTTTATGAGGAGGTGGGGGAGTGTTTTTTTTTCAATCATCAATCATCAGGTGCTAAGCTCTGAATGCAACGTAATTGAAATATCCATAGTAGGCCTACATAACTCTTTTTCTAAGAGAGGAAAAACTGTTTATATGGCACAACATTATCTTATCAGCAAGATCTCAACACATAGATGCATGTGGAGCTATACTTACATGTATTGCCTACATCAAATATTTCATCTCCAGCTAGCTCTGCGGTTGTGTTTAGGCAAACATTACTTTCCGAGCATAAATCATCAGAAATATTACCGTTCCAAATACCTAAACGAGATACGACAAGAACTATAAATTATATGTCATAAATATTTATATTCATAATGAAAGCCTAATAAACACACCATGCTCCGAAGAGCTTAGCCCAGTAAAAACTCTAATACTTTTTATAACAACTCGAATGCAATTGGCCTATAGTGATCCAAAGACAGCTTCGATATCTTGACTACTGATTGGGAGTAATTGTGCTGGTTTATCTAACAAAATTAAGAGTTTGTAAGCTATATTACCAAATAGGCCGTTAGTCTTTCCTTGATATTTTTTAGCAAACTCTACTGTAACATCCAACATCTGTTCAGTGACAGAAACTCCAAATGCAACGCCAGTGCTCCACGAAGCGTAGACCCTCTCATTCCCAGACGTAATATTACTTGGCTCTTGCAAAATCAAGCTAAATCCTGGATCCGTCATAGATGAATAACTGCCTGATTTACCAAATGAAAAAAAAAATCAATGAATAACTGCCTGATTCACCAAATGAAAAAAATACCATTATGTTAATTTGAATTAAATAATTCAAGCAGTATATCTCAAGCAGTTATCATTAAAAAAAAAAAATTGAATATACTTTAATTAAGGCGCTCGAGTGCCACCATAATATCGGTAATACAAAACAAAAATATTATATTGGATTTTGTTGAAGCCAGAGTAAATCAAGCAGTTGAGCATGCCAAAATATGTGGTGATGCCAGTATTGTTGGTGTTGTATGTTAGATGCCAATATTAATAAGGTTGCTGTCAGTACTGGTGTTGTATAGTTTGACGGCGAACTCTTATTCAATTGAATCTGGTATTACCTTCCCTCAAGTCATCAACTCTGATAATTTCAGTTCCGTTTATAAGGATACTAACGTCAGTTCCATTATCATATAATGTGAATTGTACCTAGAGTAAGTAACATGAATTAATCACGGTTATAAGCATCGATTTAAGTGTCTTTGTTATCAAATAGGTACACGTCATTAAGTATAAAGAGTATAAACTTTAAACTTTATAACAAACTAAACTAAAAAAAATTCCCAGAGTGAAAAAAAAACATGTATCAATAATCAATATAAAAGATAACAGCACTTACACTTGTTTCCTTTACCTAGCTCCCGTCTATACGCAGTGGGCTCATGGGCGTCGATCGGTGGGGGCCAGGGGGGCCGCGTCCCCCCACTTTCAAAGTGGGGGGGGGGGACATAATATCGATTGTCTCCCTCACGTAATAACAATTACACATGACTCATGAATTTTGTCTGTGCACTTTTCTAAGTGCGGTACATATTTCCCGGACCAAAACCGAGTAAAAACGCAATTGTTTAAACATTTCGTAACCATCTCAGAAACCCACTAGATCGATTTTAATCTTGATTGATTTTAAAAGTACTGTACATGCAAAAAGACTAAATTAATGACTGTTTTAAGTTTATCTTATTTGTTTTTCATAGTTCGAATTTTGAA